TCCTCTGGCTTTATGCCTCCATTGTCTAGAAAGGACATTTATCAGCTTGAAAGCCACAGGCCTTTCCGCTTTGGTTTTATTAGCTATGTGGTAATTGATATGAATAAAAGATAGTTTTAATTTAATAGCAATAACGACATTTACTGGCAGAATGTATTTTATGTCATTGATAGTCCATTTATGTTCCAAAAGAATTTGTCAATTTAGAACACAATTGTGGAGAAACTTGATAAAGAAGTAACCAAATAGAAATAAGGAACCTGAAATAACAGAAGAAAGCAGACATACATTACTGCCAGGAGTTTGAGATTATGTTCTTGGGCAATAATTAAAAAGATCTGACTAGGAGCCTGGTGGCTTGTTTCCTACCCTGCTTTACATCAACGTGGTTTGCATATGAAGTTTTATGCCTAATTAATTAATTTATTATTATACATGTCATGCTTGTCCACAGTAATTTATCTATTTCTCTTTAAATTTGCCTCTCAGACTGCCCCTGGGAGATACTTTCAAAACCTGTTATATTTTAATACCAATAGAAAATTATTTCTGAGAAGGCTGGTTTGCATGTAAAAAACATGAATATACAACCAATAATGTACTTGAGTATTTTTCTAAGGCCATTTGATAGGTAAAATAATACACAAATTATAGGTAGTCAATTTCCTATCTAACTCAATTTTTCATATTTGCACACATATGCATGTGCATACAGATATACATATACATGTGTGTATGCATGTTATTTGAATTTGCAAGACCATAATTCTATATCTATTGTCAGTCTCTAAGAAAAGTAATAAATTCTTTGTATATGTGATTGGAAATAGAAACAGCATTATAAAGCCAGAGTCTTGGAGTTTACATGTAAAATCATTACTAACAATAATTATCCAAGTGATACTAAGGAAAGGGCTGAGCTGATATCAAAAATTAAATTCTAACAAAACAGGCACTAAAGTGAACTATGAAAAACTGTATCTGTCATTCTCTTTGGGAATTCATAAATCACCTGCCTATCATCTTCCTGTACAACTGCAATAGACCGCTTTCTAGACCTCCTTCATCACTGCACTGAACTCTGTTAAATCCTTTTATCCTGCACAGCTGCTCTTCCCCACCACACGCATTCTGAACAGAAACCAAAACACGCATCTTTGTATGTTTAAATCTTGCTGTCAATATTAGCATCAGTCCCATCACAGTAAGTAGCTAGTCAATTACAAAACAATAAGCCAGGTCAATTATTTCTGGGTTGTGATTTAAATAATAAGTCATACTTTTACCATCTTGGAAAATGAGGTATATCTACTTAATCTTGATTAGTGGTGAGTGTGCAGAGATTTCATTCTTGAAATTCAGGCTTGGTCATAACTCTGCAAAGCAACCTCAAACTTGAAACTACTGCAGTGTGAAATAAATGACCATAATGCCACAATAGTCATTTTGTCTTCATCCAAATTGATCATTATTTTGCTAGCCAGAAAGAAATTTGCATTGTTCTGATTATTAATAAATGCAGTTCTGTCTTAACAATACCATAGTGAGCATAGTGAGAAACCAGCAGACAGATATTCTAGGTTCAGGAAAGAAAGCGTGCAATGGGATATTGCATACCTTAGCAATGAACATCCTCAATGAATTCCCGAGATATTCCCAAAAAGTAATTCACATTTACACCCAAGAAAATTACTTTTTTACTTGAAAATAGAAAGTACAATAATTTCTTTTGGGGCTCTAGGTATTTTCAACCAAACTTAACAGAAAGTCTGTGTTTATTTTTTAAAACCATGCAAGGTAGCAAAACAAAAAAAAAGTACACAGAAAGCAACATCGTCAGAGTGGAAAATTGTAACTCTGATTAACTTCCTCTAAAGACAGATTTGCCTGTGGGAGCATTCAAGTTCCTTATTCACCCTTCCTAATAAATGTGGTACCAAGAACATATGCTTTACTACTATTTTCTCATAGTAAAAAAAGTCAACTAATAAACGCTTAGTATCTATTTGCCCTTTTCAACTGTGGAATTACAATTATCTAAAAAATGGCATCATAAGTTCACAATAATGGAAGCAATTAAAATAATTTGTCAAATTGGATTTTATATCTATTTTGCCCCCGTCTATTCTAGTCATGCTGAAGTTGTTATTCGTTTATTTAAAAACAAAAATCACTATGAACTCCTAACCACTGAATCGAAGAAGCCATGTACCAGTATTTTACATGTTCTTTCCCTTTGTGCTAAGCAGTGAGAGTTACTAGCGGGGGTTGTACAAGCACAGTAGGGGGTTTGTAAAGCTATTTGTAGGGTAAGAAGAGCCAAAAGGGCTTTTGAAAATGGCAGCTTTAGAGCTTTGGCTTTGTTTTCACTCTATTTTGGTCTAAGGAGAGGTGAAGAGGACTAAGTACAGACAACTTAACCGTCTTGATGCAGTTTATTGTGTCCTGAAATTGGCATACGATAGCAAAGGGTGTTGGAGTAGGAGTCTCAGGCTGGGGACTGGCTGGAGGTGCCACCGATTTAAGTCAGGTGCTGAGGCTCTGTTTCCAAGTCTGAAAACCTGTTAACGCATAAAATACCCCCTGCAAATGTGAAGTTTCAGCTAATAGATTTGAAAGGTTTTGCAAATTGTAAAGCCCTATGCATATTTTATTGTTGCTATCAGCTTTTCACTTATTTTTGCAGTGACAAAAGTATTTCTTCAGAGTACAAAAGTATCTCTCTAGCAGAATGCACCATGTATTTAGGATAGAATTGGGTAATATTTTATAAAGTGCCATGAAATGTCACAGGCTTATTTGTATTTTTGGTGATTTTAGACATTAATCGCCGAATAACCTTCTCATTTTCCAAGTAAAGAATAAAGGGAACAGTGATGGCATTTGTAACCATCTACACAAAGGGACCGATTTAAAATCTTCACAGATGGAGAGATATCAAGGGTAAATCATTACACCTCCATTTCTAATTTTAAGAAGCTTTGAGGGTGTTTGTGGATAGTAAGGCACAAACATTGTTTTGCATATAGAATTAATCATAAACTTTACATACCACAGTCCCAAATTCTCCAGATAAAGCAGAGGATTTTCCAGAGGCCATCTCTAAAGGACTGAGAAATGCATAAAAGGAAAATAGTGTTAAGCTACGTGTAATGTACAAACTGAGCAAATTGCTAAAACTAGGATGGTGACCTTTCAAAGAGGACAAATATGATTATTTTATCCCTCAGAATTGTTTGGGGCTTAGTGCTTTAGAAAGGGTAGCGTATGACATATACTCCTCATTGCAGCCACAAAGGAGTATATTTCTAAACAAGGTGCATAATTCATTTTCTTCAGTCAATATAATTCCACCCAATATTTTTTGTAAGTTATCTCTAACAATAAATGTAGACCAGTGTTTGAGACTTAGTGAGTGCTAAAATCATACGAAATGTGCCATACACATAAGGAAATCCAGTGCCAAATGTTCTTGGGACTTTGAGATGATTCACATATGGCAGGAAGCGCTCACTATGGATAGCAGCATAGAACCATGCAGGCTGCAATGGCTAGTCTATTTTGGCTACAAAATCTAAATGCCATTCTCTAATCCATATCTCTCACACTGTACTAAAGCCAAATCAAGATGAATTAAACACATGTCATAAAACAGACTTCAAAATTTTATAAACTATAAACATTTTCTTTATTTTCCTTCCTACTTGTTTTTTTTTAATTTTTTTTATTTTAAAGATAAAAGGAGGGAAACATTAACAGACATACAACATTTTACAACATATCACAAGCACAATACAGACAAATAGTTTAAAGTAGTATATTCTTAGAAACCCTTGGATTCACACTGATAATTGTAAATATTAAATACATTGACAAATCCACTAGTCATAATTTATGCTACCAGTTGCCATGTTACAAAGTCCATTATCCTGGGAGTATTTTTTCAATGCTTTCTATATCTTTTTGTTTCTTTTTTGAGATTCAGTTTGGAAAAGAAGATAAGAACTATAACTCTAATACCAGATACCTAGCACCCTTAGAGGAAAAAAAATATTCGATTTTAAAAGAACTTAAAAATAATTTTTTTCTCTATATTGGTAACAAAATAGTAAAATGGGCAAGTAATTTGAGTCATACAAATTGAGCATTCCTAACCCAAAGTGCAAAATCTGAAATGCTCCAAAACTCAGAACTTACTAGCCATTAACAGCGTGCGATGAGTGGGAAGTTGCATACCTGACCTCATGTGATGGACCCAGTCAAGACACAGGCACACTAGAATATTGCACTACATTATCTTCAGGCTGTGTGTGTTAGGTAAACAGGAAACATAAATGAATTTTGTCTTCAGACTTGGGTCTTGTCCCAAAGTATCTTATTATGTGCATGCAAATATTCCAAAATCTGAAAAAAAAAATGATATCCGAAACACTTCTTGCCCCAAGAATTTCAGAAAAGGAATCTGTAACCCATCTAACTTGCTTTTCTCAGGCACAGCTTTCTTTTCTGTAGGGTGAGAGGAGCTGACAGCAGGACAGGACTGGTGCTTTTGCTGGCGTCTCCATCTCAGGACCTGCTTTTGGCTCCACCCTCTGAGTATTCAGCACCAAGAGATAGGGGACAAGTTTTCTATGTCGAACTGGTCCTTCCCAAGATGTGAAATTAATGCCGCTCTTTCAGAAGACAGAAAAGCTGTCACATGTACCAGATCTTTTAGACAGAGCATATCTTTGCCCTCTTCCTCTCTGGAGCAGGAATTGAAGATGTTAAGAGTGGCTTTCACTGCCATCTGTTTTGTTAGTCATTCTATTTCCTTCCTCTTTAATTTGGGGTGACAGATACCTTCTGAGGCTTTGGAAGTCATTCCTCTCCATAACCAAATAGTGTCCTCTGGGGAACATTTCCTGTCTGCAGCTGTTCCATGCCATCTCAACAATGTGCTATGGCTGGCAGTATGTCACACAGTGCCCTCATGTCACCTTCTCTCCTTGCTTTCACAGCTGGCGCTACGTACATCTTTGGGAAAAGTGGTGGCCTCATCCTTTACACCTGGCCAGCCAACGACAGGCCCAGCACACGCTCTGACCGCCTGGCTGTGGGCTTCAGCACCACTGTGAAGGATGGCGTCTTAGTACGCATTGACAGCGCTCCAGGACTTGGCGACTTTCTCCAGCTTCACATAGTGAGTACCTGGCCTTGGCCTGGATTCTCTTGTCTTCCTGATGGTCTGAGTTGGTGAGTCAGATAAATGCAGCAGAACAGTCTGCATAGACATGGTAAAGGTACACACACTTACAAAAATTGCCTTTGCTTTTATGAACCAGCATGCTTATATAAAAAATTACAAGCTGTTCCTTCTACTCCATGAATACAGAGAGCATTCCCTTTAGAAATTGTGTAGTTTGACCTACCATAAAACATTTGCAGACCACTGGAGTATAGAGGAGAGATTTACCTCGTGTGCTTCACTTACATGGTGCAAGTAGCAAAGCCAACTTGAATGCAAATGATGTCCTAGGCTGGGGGTTGGCAAGCTGTGTATAAAAGGCAAGTTAATAAATATTCTGGGTTTTGTGGGTTATACCATCTCTGTAAGTGGTACTCCATTTTGCCATAGACAATGCATGTTTAAAGCATGTGACTGTACTTCAAAAAATTTCATTTGTGAAAACTGACTGCAAGTTGTACTTTCAAAAACCATGCCTTAGGTTGCAAAATGTCCCTGTACCGATGTAAGGGATGTGTGATAGAACTTAGGGTTCTGAACTCAGTGCCAGGGTGAAAGAGGCAAGGAAAAAACCAGTAGAGCAAGTGAAAGCTGAGCTACTTGTGCATACTGCATATCTTTCATTTTGCTCTAGGTCTGGTATCTGTGAGCCCAAAAGGGCTCTACTCTCAGTCCCTGCAGATCATAAGAACACAGTGCAAGTATAAGAAATTAAAATGATTTGAAGGAAAAAATTACTCCGTTATGAGGATAGAAAATATTTTTATAGCAACAATTAACCCATTTTATCACCTGTGCAGCTTTCAGTTGAGAAAGTAGGCTAAGGAAAGATGATTTTCATCCGTAAGTACCCCGAATGCAGCTACCAAAAGCAAAGAGAGGAATTGTTCTCATTAGTTAGAAATGTCAAGGCTAGAAAGTATGTATTTAATTTGGAGTAATAAGAATTCAGCTTAAATAGCAGGGGGGAGAGCCATTAAGAACAACAAAAAAAAAGATCAACTAGGGATTAGTCCCAATCTCTGAAAAGGAAGAAAAGGAATGTTGAATGGGAATCTTTGAGTTAGACTCTCTAAAATGTGCAATCCAGGGAGGCAAGCAGAATGTAAAATTGCATTGCTGATCTCTGGAGTTTGAGATGGCTTGGTGGAGTCACAAGTAGCAAACTCACATCTAATGGAAGGGCCAATCTCTGGCACCTGCCCTTCTAGTGTACCTTGTAAGGCGAAGCTCAGAGCTTGAGCTAGAAGCCTTTCTGCACCCAGCAGGAGCCAGAGCAAGGCAAGACTTCATAGGACCCCAGGAAAGGACTAGTTAGAAGTGATCACCTCAGAATGTGGAAGACAGTCTTCAACAGAGTTGCAATTTTTAAATTCTTTCTCAGATGCCTCTGGAACCATATGGTGTTATAAGCCTGACTTTAAACATTGTAAAAAGCCATGCCAAGGAGCAAAAAGCAAAGCATCCATAGTTACTATAGTTTGTCTTTGTTTGGCCACTAAAAACCACCATCATTTACAAAACTCTGTGCGATTTATGCTGTCCATAACTTAATGACTATTTCATGGCAGCTATAACTAGGCTATTATTACCAGCTCACTTGCATGTTCATGATGATTTATCTTCTTTTTTTCATTCAGTGTGACTTACTAAGAAAAATACCATTTGGCACAGACACGAGGATCTTTTAGACTCAGGCAACATATTGTATGCATTTCTTCCCATTCCTGTCTGATAGAAACGGTCACTTTAAAGGAAGAGGTTCTCTTGTTTTTGATAGGTTATTTGAACTTGGCAATCTTTTAATGAAATTGATATGTGGGTTTTGGGTACGTCTAATAGTTGTTAGAACCTTTTAATATATCATTTTATGCCGTTATAAAATTCTGTCATTTTTTTGTGTGTCTTTGAAAATGAATGGTTCTACACATACTCTGGGGTTTCAGTAATATTTGTTTGCATCCATTAGAGTGTGTACTCCGTATAAGCATACACATTAGCTTTGGCATATTATTTTGCCTTTTTATCAAAGCAAGAATGCCAGGAATTTTTCATTAAAATATGTAAAGCCCCCTGGGAAACAATGGACTTATTACAGCGATGTTCCTGTTTCCTAAACATTCTGGGAAATCACAGACTTTTCTTCAAAGCTTGGATTAGATGTGATACCACCTAGTCTTTTCAGTAGGAAAAACAATGGGAAAATTCACAAAATTCTGAAGTGAGACTTACCTGTTCATGACCCTGTTAAGCATTCTTGTTGTCTGAAATAAATTTTAAAAATTATTTCCTACTAGATTATTTGTCTATACTCCTTACTATGAATGAGAATAAAGGATCTAACTAGAAGACTGAAGGTTTTGCTTCCAAAACCAACTTTTTATTTTGGGCATTTAAGTAGACACAACAAGCAAAGGAAGCCATAAATAACTAGTAAGGTACTCTTATAAGACTTTTGAAGTCTGTAAAAGTGGTTTTGTTTGTTAAAAGTTTTGTTTCCTTGGTTGAAAGAAAATTGCTCAAAAACAAAGAGCTTAAGAGCCTTTAGTGAAAGTGAAAATGATTAGACGGGGGCAAATGATTTCGACCAACTCTGCAGTTCACGAAAGAGAACTCACTGGGAAAATAAGTAGAGTGATGATAAATAAAAAGAAGCAACATGAACATATGTCTTAATCAGTTCTTCCTGCTTTAACAGAATACCTGAGCTTGGTTAATGTATAGAGAACAAAAATTTGTTTGTCACAGTTTGAGGGGCTGGAAATCCAAGATGTGCCTCTGAACACAGTGCTTCTCACATGGGGGAATGTGCTGTCTCCGAGCTGTGAGAACTGGAGAATGAACAACACCCACCCCCATAGGCTTGTCATAACTAAAGTAATCTACCTTCCCAAAGGTCCCTCCTCCCAACACTGTGGCCTTGGCTGTTAAGCTTCTAACAGTGAATTTTGGGGGGACCATTCAGATTCAAGCAGCTGGATAAATTCTAGGAATAAGGGAAGACAGATCTGCCTATAGATGTGCTCCGGGGATGTCATATGGAAAGGGTATTAATTATGAGTATTGGTATTAATTACGGAAAGAGCTCAAACACCATTGAGTGGTAGTCAGGGTAATAAAGTGGATTTTAAAACATAGTATAAATTTACATTAGCCAGAATGATGGGGGGAGTGAGAGACAGACAGACAGAGAGAAGTAACAGAGGCAGAAAATTTGTGCTTTAGAAACTGATTGTGAAGGCAATTCCTAGGAATTCTTGAAGTATTTTATACAGCGTGGACACTAGCATTAAGATAATCACTTTTATCCCCAAGTTAGCTTACTTAAAAGAAGAGCAGATTCTCTTCCAAGAGCACTGAAGACCCTGACCCTGAGATCAGCAGCCTCGGTAGCAACATCCCACAGAACAGGAATGATCATGAACTTCCACTTTCCTCTCTCCTTAAGCTTTACACTGAGAAGGTTTATGAGGACAGTGGGAAGGAGAACCCAGCAGTGAAGAGATTCGGCTTCCACCAAGCATGCCTGTCACGGGTGCAGAAGGGGGGCTTGGTGGATACTCACTGCACGTGTGTCACACCTGCTCTAAGCTACACACTCTCCCTCCTATAGAATTGAATTTTCTTATTTCTTTTCCTTTGTGTTTAGAAATCCCTAGACACTAAACCTTTTTCTTAAAGGAAAAAAAGTAGATATCTTCTTAAACACATATTATCCTTGAAGTCATTGAATCATTTAGTAATTAATTCAAAGTAGTCAGTCTGAGCTATAGTATTATTGATCAGTGGTGTGATTTTATCTGGCATGTTTAAGGGCCTAGGTTCTATCCCCAGCATTACAAAAACAACAGATCAACAAACAATCTGATTATGATCCGCTTCACAGTAGCAAGGGTTGGCTGCTGTGGCAGATTTGAGTTTCATTTAGACAGTGGGAAGTGGTTATGTGTAATCTGAGGACCCACAGCGGTGTGTGCACTGCAGAATGGGTAAAGAAAGCAAGCAGAAAGAAGACATTCATGCCTTAAGGCGAGTCATTGAGTAAAGAAAGAAAGAGACACCGAGATGAATTGGGTAGGTGCTAGGGACATGTTTTCCCTGTGTCACAAATTGCTTCAACTATCTGTTGTTTCAGTCAAGAGAGTGGAGGGCCTCCCTTTTGTGATGCTTTGTCTTCAGTCCAGAGTCTTACAGTTTTCCTGGCTCTCAGGAGGGATAAGTGGCCTTTGACAGTCAGAGATAGATAAAAATTAGACCAGTGAAAAAGGAGGGGAGAGCTGGAAAACAAGGAGGTGAAGGAAAAGGAGGCAAAGGAGGAGAAGGAAAACAGGTCAAGAGATCATAAAAATTTAGGAATCATTTATTTCAAATTAGCTAACTCTCTGTTTCTGGTTCCCATTTCCATGGAACAGTATTTTCTGCCTCACTCATTGGCTCGTGATATGAATAAAATCAATGAAATATGCCTGACAAAAGCAAAAAAGTCTTTGTTGAGCTGCATGTGCATGAAATTAGATTCTGTGGAGGACAGGGTGTCTGGGGGCAGAAAGTTTTTTTAATAAATGCTTATTTCAATTATAAGTTTTCCTCCACTGATCTATTGTTGAGGAGTTAATCTGTTCAATATTTGGAATGAAACTGCTATTGCTTGTGAGTGACATCTGCCTGCTGACCTCAGATATAAGCTTTATGGAGCTATGTCATGTTACACTCACCTCCTTTTACACAATAGGGTAGAACTGAATAGGACCAGAGAAAGGATTACCATGAAGTGCCTGTTACTACGATCATGCAGCTCTTGACAACCTCCTTTCACCACGTGCAAAATAGAAGGTCGGGGAGAAATGGGCATCAATTAGCTTCTTTTCATGTACTTAATGTTGGTAGAAAAAAAAAGACATCCTATTAATTTCCTTTTCCCCTTGTGCAATTTACAGTAAATCCTCTCGAATTCA